CGCCTAGTGTGAATCAATGACGATGACAACACGGACCAATGCTGTGGGGGCTAGCATGAGCATACATCGATATCGTCACATTCAATTTCTTGTTCGAATACATGCAAAAAAACATCTGCCAAAGACGCAGAAGCAGACGAAAACAGCGCATAGGATTGTACACAAAATTAACTTTAAGCGTACGAAAGAGATGAACGCAATCACAACGTTCAATCGTCGTGAGGGGACCACGCGTAATTACTAAAAATAAAACTCGAGGATCGATAACAGGCAAAAAGCCGACAGACACCAGCGGTGTTGTTTGTTCAATCTTCCGCCCCTGCACATTCGCGGCTTCCGCCGCCTCCGCCCTCACATCCCTTACCCTGCTTCTCCCCCCGCCCCTCGACATCACCTTCCACTCCCCCGCCCTACGTGCTTTCTTCATATCATCGGACGCTGCGCAAGCACATAGTTTTTTCGTTATTCGTTGTCGCAGAAACTCTAACGAGGGCAATCATAATCAAAATCACTCGGCAGAGAAGAGAGAGGGGGAGAGAGAAAGGGAGAGAGAGAGAGAGAGGAGAGAGAGAGAGCAGAGAGAGAGGAGGAAGGGGGAGGTTGTGAGAAGAGAGGCAGAGAGCAGTGAGCAGAGAGAGAGCAGAGAGAGAGAGGAGGACAAGAGGAGCAGGGAAAGAGGAGAGCACGAGAAAGAGAAAGGAGAGGAGAGGAAAGAAGAGGGAGGAGGAAGAGAGAAAGGGAGCAGGAAAAGAGGAGAGACTCGGAGAAGAGGAGAGAGAGAGGATGGAGAGAGAGAGAGAGAGAGGTAAGAGAGAGAGAAAGGGAGAGAGAAAAAGAGAGAGGAGAAGGGGGAGAGAGAAAGGGGGAGAGAGAAAGGGGGAGCGAGGGAGAGGGGAGAGCAGAGAGGTTGAGGGAAAGGAGAGCAGAAGAGAGAGGAGAGAGAGAAGAGAGGAGAAGAGAGAGAGAGAGGAGAGAGAGAGAGAGATAGGAGAGAAGAGGGACGAAGAGCGGAGAGAGACGAGAGAGAGAAGAGAAAGAGAGTTTAGAGAGAGAGAGAGAGAGAGAGGAGAGACGAGGAGAGAACGAAGAGAGGGAGAGCAGAGAGAAGAGAAATAGAGAGAGAAAGGGAGAGAGAGCAGGAGAGAGAGGGAGATGAGAGAGAGAGAGGGAACGAGCAGGGGAGAGAGAGGAGAGCAGCAGAGGAAGAGAGAGAGGACAGAGAGAGAGAGAGAGGAGAAGAGAGAGAGGAGAGATAGGAGAGAGAAGAGAGAGAAGAGAGAGGTTGAGGGAGAGAGAGCAGAACAGAAAGAGGGGGAGAGAGAAAGGGAGAGCGGAGAGATGAGAGACAGCAAGAGGAGAGAGGAGAGGGGGGGGGGGAGAGAGAGAGAAAAAAAATAGAGGGGGAGAGAGAGAGCGAGAAGGGAAAGGGAAAGGGAGAGAAAAAGGGAAGATAGGAATACGAGTAGAGAGGGCAGCGTGTTACCAAAAGAGAAAGAGAGAGAAAGGGGGCAGATAGAGATAGGAGAATAGAGCGGGGAGCGGAGAGAGATAGAGAGAAAAAGAATAATAATCTTGGACCGAGTCAGGAGTGTAATAATGGACTGCGAAGCGCGGGCTGAGTGTCAAATGGACTATTAACGCACCAACGACAACGACATAGGTACTATCAACAATATCCGAAGAAATGGGATTTTTTTCTGTATTGCTAAACGGCGGAACGCTGTCACGTTGCGACCCCCGACGCACTGACACAACGCGGCCAGGGGTCCATTTTCCCTTACGCACTCCCCTTACAGTATGTAAATTGAGCAAGCTCCGGTCAGAATTTTGCGACGCACAGGGAGAGACGCAAGGAATCCTCTCGCCCGCGCCTCTCGACCCTCACCACTCGCGAGCGCGGGGCTAACTCGACAGGGAGAGACTGAGAGGTTCTCCCTGGACCTCTCGCCCCTCCGTCTCCATCGACTAAATTAAAACTATTCAACCTCCGATCTTCGTCAGCAAGATTTCGCTAAGCGAATACTCGCAACCGTGTGTTTGCCGTGGCGCTCACACTGGGTGACTAAGTTAAAACTGTTTCGAATCAGTTTCCCGTCAGCCCGAGTGAAATATATACGGAAACATAACTCCCGCTATGGCGCTAACATGGACTAACATAACCACTAGACACAGTGCATCCGTAACGCGTGGGTAAAGCGGCGGTCCTGCGGCTTCACAACGAGCTTGCTACAATCAATGGACTAGAAACATTCGCAGACGACGATGACATACACATGACTAAGTATGTTCACGACAAGACAACTAACCCCCCCCCACCTCCACAACGAAAAGAACACGATTTCTACCAGCCAAGCTGCTGCCGTATCGCAACGTGAATTACTGAGGTTATGGCGCGATGGGTCTTGGCCACTTACAACATCACACGCGCTGGTTAGTACCCGCAGCGAAGCATTGCCCTGGTACAGTATCTTGCTTAAGATTAGGTCGACAGAAGGCTTTCGCACCACAGGTGTTTTCACCCCTGTCTGCGCGCGTCATCCACCACCGCACATCTAAACGTTTCGCAGGCTGTACTCGTGGCCGTGTCCGATCACGTCGAGTGATGTTCTCCAGGTCCAGTGCTGTAGTAGTGAACCTCAGGCTGCGGTTCGCGCGCCAGGTTGGCGTTGGCGAGCGGCGTTCGTTTGTCATCGAGCACGCGGACGGCTCGTTCATCTTTGCGCTGCCTCCATCCACTGGCGGGGCGATCTGGCGCGTGCGCTCCAGTCACGTGTAACCGCGTCTGTCGCCGCCCGCCGAAGGCGGGGAAAAGAAAGACATATTGATCGTTATCTGGAGACGTCTAGCTGTTTAGGGGTTAGCGCATTAGGTTAAGGGTTAGGGTTGAGTCAAGGTTACAGGTTAGGGGATCGGGTTAGTGTTAGGGTTAACGTCTCAAGTATTAGGGCTTAGGGTTAGTGTTGGGGTTCAGGATAGGGTTAGGGTAGTGTCTAGCGGTTCAGCTCGTTAGGCGTTATGGGTTGAGTCGATCCTAGCAGTTAAAGGGTTAGGGTACAGGGTTAGGGTTGAGTGTTTAGCGCGTTTATGGTTGAAGTCATGATTAACAGGCTTAGGAATGGGTTACCCTCTCACCCCCGCCCACAGCCCGCGCCTGCATCTACCCCGGCGGGCGGCCCACACCCCCCCGCACCATCCGCCCGGCCACGGCCCCGCCACTCACGCACACGCCCGCTGCCCTCCCGCGGGTCAGAACGCGGCCGATCCGCCTCGCTCGCCACCCCGGGTGCGTGCTCGCCTACCTGCGCCCTGACGGGATGCCTTGAAATGCCATACTCCCAGGTGACCGGCATGTGTCAGCAGCCTCGTCGGGGTAAGAGAGGGTGCCACTGCTGCTGCGCTCGTGATCCAGCCGAGCGCGACGGTGGCGTTGCAGGGGCCTGAAGCAGGCCTCATTCGATCCCCAGCGCGGGCTGTGGAGGCAGAGCAAACACAGGTGTGTACAGGTGTGTGTGTCGTGTGCTGTGTGTGTGTGTGTGTGTGTGGCGCGTGCGCGTGCCGTGGCGTGTGCGCCGGTGTGCGTGTACTGGGCAGCGCTTAGTTAGTGAAGTTAGCAGGAATTCTCAAGCAGTGAGTTTAAGTTTACTGGTGGCGGGCCGCTGGTGATGTATGATAATGCTAGCGGCTGCTGCTGGCTACTGCTGCTGCTGCTATTGCTATTGCTGCTGCTACTGCGGGGCTGGCTGCTGCTATTGGCTATTAGCTGCTGCTGCTTGGCTACTGCTGCTCGCTGCTGCTGCTGGCTATACTCATTGCTGCTGCTAGCTGCTGCTGCTGGCCTGCTGCTGACTGCTGCTCTAATTCGCTATTGCTGCTGCTGGCTACTGGCTGGCTCGCTGCTGCTGCTGCTGGCTGCTGTATGCTGCTGGTGATGATGAATGAATGCTTACTCGCTGCTCGCTGCTGGTGATGATGATAATGCTACTGCTGCTGCTGCTGGTGATAGAATGATAGATGCTACTGCTGCTGCTGCCTGCTGCTGCTGCTGCTGCTCGCTTCTACTGCTCTCGCTGCTACTACTACTGCACTGCTGCTGCAGCTGCTGGTGATGACGATGATGACACCAACAGCCCCCCACTGAGACACTGCCCCAAGCTGAGACACAAACCCTATTGAGCACCGACTCCCCCCCGACTGAGACACCCGATCCCCCCCCGCCTAAGGCACAGACGCTCCCCGATTAGACGATACCGCCACCCGCGCGGCACGCCCCCAACCTACGTGAAGACACAGACCCCCCGCATGTGAGACCCCCACCCTGAGACACCGACCCCCACCCTCGAGACACGCAACCGACGCCTGAGCATCGATGCGCATGGCCCTCGTCCGTCCCGCCCCGCCGAGCAGCGTCGCCCGTCATATCTTGTGCGATCGGAAGCTGCTGCAGGTGCTGCCCGAAGCCGGCTCCCATACCAGCCCAATCGGCAGAACTGTCGTCCCGTCGTCCAGCCTCGCGGCAGGCCTGCTTGTCCGGGCGCCCGAACGCGAGCAACCGATGAGTCCGCTCGCACAGGGGGCTGCCGCGACGCACGGGGCGATCGCCTCGGCAGCGGCAAACGGCGTCCGGGTGTCGCCTCGTTTAGCCGCCAGAGGGCGACGACGGCGCCGGGTCCGCCGGAGCCGGTGGCGAGGGCGGAGTCGTCGTCAGAGAATGCGCAGCAGGTGACGTATCGCTCGTGGTGCGCTATGCGGAGCAGCTGGCACGGACTCACTGTAATAGGGAATGCAGCGCTGTAATAGGAAGCTCCACCTGTAATAGAGACTCACGCTGTAATAGTGGATTGCACACTGTAATAGAGCTGGCGAAGGATTCACCTGTAATAGGGATTTACCTGTGATAGAAGCTGATAGGGATTTACCTGTAATAGGGATTCACCTGTAATAGGGATTCACCTGTAATAGAAGCTGGCAGGGATTCACCTGTAATAGGGATTTACCTGTAATAGGGATTCACCTGTAATAGAAGCTGGCAAGGATTTACCTGTAATAGGGATTCACCTGTGACAGGGATTCACCTGCAATGGAAGCTGACCGTGATTTACTACATGCTAACGAGGAAAACAACCGCGGAGCATGCAGTTGGTAAATGAGGAAGATTAGAGTAATACACTTCACACACGACATTGCCATCAACCTGTAATGCGTTGTGACGGTCAATTCAAACTAGAATCAGTCAGCGGTTCTTAACCTTTTTTTGAGTCATGGACCCCTTTGAGAATCTGGTAAAAGCTATGGACCCCTCCCCAGAAAAATGCACAGTCCCATGAGCACAAAATTTTGCATGCGCTTGGTTCACGAACCACCTGAAGCCCATCCACGAACCCCAGTGCGGTCCATGGACCACAGGTTAAGAACCTCTGATAGAAGATGTACAGTGTAGCCCGGTTATAACGCGATGGTTGGGGTCCATAAAATATCATCGCGAAAAAAGCGGGGTCACACTAAATCGGAGTTATATATACGTGTCTATATAAGAGCAAAAAAAGGAAGTCCAATGACTCATCGCATTATATCCGAATTCGCATTAAATCGAGGTGCGTAAAATCGGGGTTCCACTGTACTTACCATGTCCCACAGAATCACAGTCTTGTCCCCAGACCTGCGAGAAAACAAAGTAACATTCTCACAGTCAGACAAGAATCAACCTAAGCATTCCCGTTTACTCACTTAAAGCAGCAATTAAATCTGAAATCTTGCTAATTGTGAGAAAGTTGTATATATATCATGAGACCAAATAAAAAAAATTTCTATTATAGACTCTTGATATATATATATATATATATATATATATATATATATATATATATATATCTCCTTGCATATATATATATATATATGTATATATATATATACACACACATATATATATATAGGCAAGAAGGATATCGAAGGAATAATTAACATGATTGAAATTACTATACTGCATATGTAACATAACGGGTATGAGGATATTTTTCACAATTAGCTAATTAAACCACTCAAATCGCGTTAAACCAACACTGACATGACCAACTGCAGCAATCAAATCCGAAAATCCTCTTCACACAGTTGTATTAACTAATTTCCAAAGAGTTTCCTAATTAATTACTAATCAGACTGTATTAAAAAAAACCAAGGACACATTATATCAACATGTGAAGGCTGAAATAAAGAATTGAGCTGAGAAACTCACCAAGAAGCTACAGACAGGATACGCAGGAATGCAGGAGCAAATCGCACCACCATCGGATACAAGGAAGAAGGAAGAACGTAAGTGTTTGAGCTGAGAAACTCTACCAAGAAGCTACCTACAGGAAGGACGAAAGGAAAGAATTAGGGAAGAGAGACATGAAGGAAGTGAGGAAGGAAGCGAGAAAGGAGAGAAGGAAGAGAAGAGAAGAGAGAAAGGACATTGAACTCACCCTGAAGCGAGCAGGCGGGCGCTGTGTGAGAAACACACGCACATCACGCTTGACTCGTGGCCACGAAGCACCGTGCGTGCCGTGATCGAAACACCTGAAAATACGGACGAACATAGACCAGGGAAAAATATAATTTATTTTTCAGGAGCTACTTTTCAAACTCGCGTGCATGAAAATAGCACTTTAAAATTTGGTTTGCATTGAACTCTATGCAAATTTACGGGGGCTCTTTTTGCATTTCGGGGCTAAATCGCCCGAGCCCCCCCCCCCCGTGTATTTTTTTCACTGACATAGACTGACGACACGAGTCGTTGAGAATCACTGTGGTCACAGTCACGGTGACATCTGGAGTCAGTCTTTAGACAGTTTGAGTTGAGAGTTGAGAGTAAACATGCTTGGATTAAAACACTCCCAACCCCCACGTCCTATTCAGTCTATATTCAGTCTATATATAAAGATATCGAAATGATCTGTAACGAAATAATCTGAAATAGGCTTTGTGGGTGCAATTTGGCATATATCGTATACACACAGAAATGACATGTACAGATTCACACGCACGCACGCACACATGCTCACTCATTGCACACGTGCAAACACGCACACACACACACACACACACACACACAAACACACACACACACACACACCACACAACACACACACACAACACACACAAACACACGCACACGCACACGCAAGCATACGCACAAAACACACGCATCACGCACACGCACACGCACACAAAGCGCACGCGCACGCGCACGCACACACACCACACACACACACACACAGCCACACACACACACTGTGGTTACCTAGCAGGCCTGTTCTCACGTTTCCACAGCTTCACATCGTTATCCTGGCCGCAGGTTGCCAGAGGAACTCTCCTGCTACGGATCCTTGCACTGTAGAACCTACGCCCCCACATCATCATCATCAAACACACATCATTAGTTAGTCATTAACCATCAAACGATCTACACGCCTCATGTAGATAACCTCCCTATATATATATATATACACGCACGCCACGCACGCACGCACGCACGCAACACACCACACACAATATATATATATACACACACGCACGGACGCACGCACGACGCACGCACGCCACGCACTACACACACACACACACACCACACACACACACACGCACACACACGCATATATATATACGTGTGTGCGTGTATATATATATATAAATGAGGTTATCTAAATGAGGCCAGTAAATCGTATTAATCATATTAATGGTTAACCCCATAATAGTGAAACAAAGGTCCTCTTGGGAGGAGGCAGCATCTTCCACTCACAGTACAATTCACTTTGTGTTCATCACAGCCCCCCCCCCCCACACCCACCACCGCATTTTCTTTTCTCACAAACTCGTGCGCACAACAACAAAAAACTTGTAAGACCCATAACGAACGCGCGCCGCGCTGAAACAGGTGACGACAACAGGTGGCGCTACCTTGCACTCCGTGGCGCGACGAGAACTGCGATGAGGTGACCCCAAGGTCGTGAGCGACCTTGACGAGGACGAGGCATTTTCCGTGACCGTATCTCGCGTCCCACAGTCGCAGTTCGCCACCCGTCGACCCTGCAAGCGATCACACTCGTTAGCACCAATTAACACGTTAAATTATAATTAACATTGCATTGTTAGTATATGTTTAAACTGAAAACTAAACTGAAATGTTTAAACTAATCTAAAATTAACTAATTCATTATTTAACAATTCCCCAATTAACTAACTAATTCATTGTTAATTAGTATATAATACCAGTGATTGCCTAACATTAAATAATACTACTACTCGTATAGTACTACTACTAATAATAATAACAAATATATATACTAGTACTAAACACAAATGAATAAACATTAGTTACTTTGTGAATGAACTTTGAATATCGGTCAACAAACCCTCTAGCGTTATCACCGCGTAACACGGTTTCACGTTTTTTGTAATATGCTATTTCCGGCCAGTTATCAGCAGTTATAAAATGGTTATATAGACAGCTACAGATGTTTACACTAGTTGGAAGTTGTAAATGGCACTGACTGACCCTTTGGCACCATTTGAAGGTTTTGTGTTGCGTTAGTTTACTCTTATTACCGTGATTCTTGCTTTTCCATCTTTCTATAATCATAGATATGTTTAATACAGTTGACCATCAAGATTTTTCTATAATTGCAAGTGTGTTTAATACAGTTGACCATTAAAATCTCTTCATAATCGAAGGTATATTCAATTCAGTTGACCATTAACTTATATCTGAATATAACACCACACAAGCTATAGCTTCTCATAAACACTACTTCACCCGACCCAACACCACATTTCTGCCTACATTTAAATATCCCTGTACAGATTTTGGGGCCATCTATTTACATTTAAGATGATTTAACTATCACATTATCCTTTTTTCCTCTAAAAAAACAACCGCTACATGAAACCTACTGCTACACTCGGATTGATTGCATACCTGAAATTAGATAGGTGGAGTCAGGAGTGAAATCACAGGTCGTTACCCACGCCTCGTGACCTACGAGTGACCTGTAACAAACAAGCGGCGTCAGTCTAAACCGCCCCAGTCAATGAGCAGGGGACCCCCCCCCACCACCATCGTCAGGAACAAAATTTGTCTTGACAATACTCTTAAAGCGGGCTTATGTCGGGCTTGCGAGCCGACTCGACTGGAAGCAACTGGCTGCAATTCACTGCGACTGCAGTGCTTAGGTTGGTCGACTGCGACGCGACTGCTTGCGACTGACCGCCACTAGTTGCTCGGAATAGAACAGTGGGCAACTGGACGCAACTAGTCGCTGCCGATCGCTTCCAGTTGCTCGAAATCCAGTTGCTTCCAGTCGAGTCGGCTCGCAAGCCCGACATAAGCCCGCCTTTAACATCAACTTTTTCCTCGTAGACCCGACCTCGCGCAACTTTACAGTGCTTCTGTCAACGGTCTACAAGAGAAATTCAATGTTAAGACTAATTTTGATTCAGGCAATGGTCTACGAGAAAAAGGTTCGTGTTGAGATTGTCATTGATGTTGAGACTAGATTTGTTTTTCTGACAACAGGCCATGTTGACAGGTCATCCCTAACAGGTTGCCGATCAATGAACCGCATCCCCTATCTCCCCACCCTCCCCTATCCCGCATCCCCTATCCCCTATCCCCTATCAATGAACCGCATCCCCTATCTCCCCACCCTCTGCATCTCCCGAATTAGGAACATCGCACCTGCAAACTCAAAAACCGACGAACCGCTCCGTTGTTCGTTACGTTTGTGAACGCGACTCACGAACCCAAACCCACGCGGTTCGCGAACAGACCGCGTACCACGTTCCGAATGGCCGAACGACAATCAGACTCCTCCGACCCTGTCTCGTTCGACGTTCACGACTTCCCCCCTCCCAAAATATCAAGACAATCGCGAGCCGTATCCCACGATGCAACGCACCGGGTGATGGTCCGCGTCGACGTATCCCACAATGCAATGGTCTCGTCGTCGCCGGCGGTGGCGAGGGTCGCTCCGTTGGGCGAGAACGTACAGACGCGAAGTCCGTTCTTACTCGGATGCTCCAAGATGGCAATCTGAAACAAGAGAGCATGCTATTTATCGAGCGCCAAAACCTCGAAGACAAAAGTTGTCATTGAATGGTCATTAAATTGTCATAAAATTGTTATTGAATGGTCATTGAATCGTCATTAAATTGTCATTAAACTGTCATTGAAAGGTCATTGAAAGGTAATGGAATTGTCATTAAATTGCCATTGAATCGTCATTAAATTGTCATTAAATGGTCATTAAATTGTCATTGAATTGTCATTAAATTGTCATTGAAAGGTCATTCAAGGCTCACACCAAGTAAGAGAACATTATAGAAGATGGCGGCGCCAAGTACGGCTGCTGTAAAATTTTCGGCTACAGCTTACCTTGGTTCCTGACCTAGGATCCCATAGTATACACTTCCCGTCCGTGGAACACGATGCCAACTGTGCCCCTACATGCAAATTAACGTCAAAGTAGTCAGACACTCAGCCAAACATACTCGCGAAGAAATGGCGGACATTGAAATCAGTGCACAACAGAGAAAAAAATATAATTGATTTTTCGGGGGCTACTTTTCAAGCTCGCGTGCATGAAAATATCACCCTAAAATTTGGGTTGCATTGAACTCTATGCAAATTTACTCTTTTTGGCATTTCCGGGGCTTTTTTGGCATTTCGGGGGCTAAATCGCCCCGAGCCCCCGTGTATTTTTTTCACTGGTGCACAAGTTATTTAATCTCGCTAAGCGTGCCCATTGTCATGGGGTATTTCAAAACCGTCTACCTAATCGAGGATTTTTGGCCCAGAAGTTAAGCCCATGTGGTTAGATCATGCTGAAATCACGTATTCAGTACAATTCTACTTTCTCTCTAATTCGAATTTGTTACAGGGCGACTAGGGATCAGGCAACTTGCTCAAGTCACCCAATATTAAAAGTCGAATTTGCTATGAATATGTTATTATTTCATGGCTGACACTCAGTGCAAGCTATGTAAGGTATATACTCCTTACTAATTGAACAGCCAAATTTGTTCACGCTCTCCCCCTACCTATACATCGATAGTTAGCAGCGTGTTATGGTTATTTCGCGGGCTACCAGCACTGCAAGCTTTGGTAGGTACACGCCAGGCTTCGCTTTTTCACGCGGCCGATCGGGCCCAAACCCCGTAAACAGCCCCGTCTCCGGTGTCCACAGGGCTTTTTTTCCGACACCCGTCAAATTTTGAGATTCCGAGAATAGAAAACGAAAATCAGCCCCGTCTAGAGAAAATCACCCCCGTCGAGTAAATGACGCAGCCTTTTTTTAGGCCCCGTGGTTTTCTCAGACGGTGAAGCCTGGAACAGTGAAGCCCAACCCAAACCCTAACCATAACCCTAACCCTAACCCTAACCCTACCAAATGGAGAGAAGGCAACGCAGTTGACGTAGTAGGTGTGTCCCTGCAGAGGCGAGATCGCCCGTTCCTTCCACGTGTCCATTGAGAACAAACGCACCTTCTTATCACCTGCGCAAAGCGACGATCACCATGGTTAGAACCACGCCTGAAGTTTTTTGTTTCTTGTAAAATAACAGAGCGTCGAAATGGATCACAAACAACGAATGAAACATAAAATCGGAAAAGGAATTTCGAAAGGTCTTCGGATTGTCTGCGTCAATAGTAAAAAAGAGACGCGTAACATATACAGGCCCAAGCTTAGCTTAGCACCCCGGATTAGTTTAGCACATATGCGAAAACAGATTTGCGGGGTCCCAAACTATATCCTTGATCCACATATACACTCGATTACCTGAACCGGTTGCTAACTTGTCGCCAGAGAATGCCACACCGTTGACATCGCCCATGTGGACGGTTATCGTAGCTATGATGGAAGCTGTCAAATGCATTGTTTAATGTATTCCTTCCACGATAAAGTCTGCAGTCGTCCGTAGAAGTAGCTAGTGGATTGCCATTATTTTAGCAGCTATAAAGGGAGGTAGTAGGAGTCGCATCATGCTGATTCATTGACCGATTGCTTGATCTGAAAAGAAAACGAATGAATGAGAAATTCCGAATGACGATGAAATGACGATTCACCGATTGCACGCATGCACGTCTACGTAAGTGTTCCGGTCCCATAACATAGCCGCAATAATAATTGCACATCTCTGAAAGAAAATCGAAGCATGTGAAACTCAACGAGTATCTAAACAAACCGAGCAAGAATCTAAAACTTGAAGAAGGGGCGACGGCGTTCACTGAGTGAGTCACTCTTAGCATGTACTGTACCGTAGTGTCGCCCGACCAGGCAGTGTGACTAACGTCAATATACACAGATGGACGGACAGATATACACAGGTCTTCTGTTCTAATTCCCTAGCAAAGACGGTTTCTTGGAGCTAGCAAAGTATTAGTACTATACTCTATAGCATGTACTGTAGAGAGAGTACATGAGTACTCGAGTACATGAGTACATGAGTACATGAGAACAGGAACCTGAGGCGAAAAAAGAAGTGTTATATATATAAAGATACTTCTCTTTATATATATATAACACTTTTTTTTCTTTTCTTTTTTACCTCAGGTACCTGTGTACATGAGTACCGTACTGTACATGAGTTTGAGCTGGAGTCATGGCTATATTATAGGTATATAAAATGTTCTGTTGTTCACACTAAAGCTAGTAAAGACTTAGACAGTAAATGCCACAATAAATGTCAGGCAAACATTAATATTAGTCTAGGGAATGTCGCACCACGGTCCTACTCACATTAACTGCGAACTCCAATCACATGCAAGACCTTTGCATCGAAAGACTTATCAATGAGAATAATATCAACAAAAGTCAACACCTACAGAGTACAGAGTACAGTAATTCAAACAAATGAACACATCAATGAGACGAACAAATAGTCGATGCTGAAACTACTCTGGCGCAAGCACGACGACGTTGGATGATCGTCTACAACTCGCTTGGAAACAAACGTGGATGCGTGCATGAATCGTAAACCAAGATTGAGTAATCGCGTGAAATCTGAAGATTGCTCTGAATACTGGACGCCAACAATTTCTTTACCTGCTCCACTCGTATATGTATGTATAACTGTCCATCATTGTGCTTGTGCTGACCATCCATTTTGTACAGGTGATTGGATAAAGATTTGATAAGCAATGAATGTAAAATTATTGACTGATCATCAGGCTGATGACTCACGCGTCGTATGATGTACATCCGCGTGTACATGTGCATGCCATCATTCACTTTGCTACGTAAGAAATCCTGGACCAGTGCCTACTGACCAGGACCAGTGCTTCCTCAGAGGCAATTATCCAATTATCCAATTATCCAATTCTTGAAATATTGAATATTGAATTGGAATTATTGAATTCTCCAATTATCAGTTTTTAACCCTGCTAACCCTAACCCTAATTCTAACCCTAACCATATCAAATAGTGTGCAGGGTATACGTTCCGGTATACCGGACCGTACCCAGGTTACGTTCTGGCAGTACCCTGGTGTACATAGACCCTATGAGCGTAAGTGTGCATGCAGCAGCTAGCGTGCGGCAGCCAGCGTGTGTTGCAGATGAGCATTTGGACGGCATTTACAGGAAATGGTTGGCAATAATAGGTAAAAGAGAGTAGAGAAACATTAAGACTTTGGTAGTAAATAGATTTCGTATTTATTTAGCATTATATCTTATTAAAACGCTCCAAGTGCCTGTGCCAGGATTGTGCAACATTGACAACCTTTTTTTTTACTGAAAAACTCGCTATTCCCTGCTTTTCTAGAAGAGACTCGATCACCTTAACCGAACCACACATTTGCCACTATAGCTTTGCGATCAACGGTCCGTAACTCCGTCAAGCACGTGACATATGGCGTCCGACAGCAATGCCGAGCAGGGAGGCGGTGGCGGTGGCGGTGGGGGAGAGGACCGAGATGGACGCCGCTTCCCGCCGACGATGGAAGGCCTGCTGCGATTCTCCATCGAACACACGTCTGACCAGGCCGACAGCCCCAGTCTACAGCCACAAGAGATGACAGAGGAGGTATACATAGAAGTTTTCCGATGACCGTTTCGTCCTGTTGTGAAATTGTTAATCCTATAGTATTTTAACTTTTAACTCATTGTATCTGCTAGCATATATGTCCTCATGCTATCTTCTAACGTATCCCCTCACGCACCCGTATATGTTTGTCTCGCTGATAATATGTCCTCCCTCTCACGAGGTTTCTCTCTGTTCTCTCTCTCCACAGCGGAGGGAGTTTTTACGCAGCGCTCTGGCTGAGGCAACCGTTGACCCTATCCAGGTGATCAAGCGCTCTCTGGCGGAGATGCAGGAACTGCTCGACCGAGAAGAGAGACAGGAGGAGGAGGAGGAGGAGGGAGAGGGAGATGGGGAGGAGGCGGCATCACAGCGGCTGCAGGCACTGCTGGAGAACGTCACCGACTGGTGCAACGACATTGACTTGGCGAACGGTAGGCGCCGCGTTGCTACCGCCGCCGACCCGTGTATTATTATTATTATGTTGTTGTTAACTGCTTTATTAATCAATCAATATCAAACACTTGTTATCAAATGATTCACGCGAACGTGAAAAAAATCGCTACCACGCCCGAATAACGAGTATAACGATTAGCTGATGTCGACCAATGACGCGGCAACCGACTGATAATCTAGTGGTCGATTATATTTATTGATGATTATTGATTATTGATGGTGATTGATGCACTATATTGATGATTATTGATTATTGATTGGCGATCGACGACTGACGTTGCAGACCTGCATAAGATTGGAGGTTTCGCGCTGTTCCCGCGCCTCCTCGCCGCGAGGGCGGCCGGCGTGCGTTCGCGCGCGGCAGAACTCGTCGCGACGGTCGCGCAGAACAATCCCTACACGCAGGCGCAGCTGCTGGCACAGGGGGCGCTGCCGACGCTGCTGCGGCTCACCGACGACGACGCCGCGGGCGACGAGGTGCGAGTGAAAGCGCTGTTCGCTATATCGTGTAAGTGTTCGCGCGTCGTGCGAGCGCTGTGATGTTTCGTCGCTGTGATTCTTGTGTGCGTCGTGTGTAATAGGCGCAGTAAGCAGTATTACTAATACTAGAGTAGGCCATGATGTGACAAGAGATAAAAAATAAAATAAAAGTAAAAAATAATATCCAACAAATGAAGACAATAAATAAAAACAAGGCAGATCTCTCCAAATGGGAGGAGATTAATAGTCGCTCCCACGTGGCAAGAGTGGGAAAATGCTCTTCCCTGACAAAAACGAGGCAGATCTCTCCAGTTGGAGGGATTACAAGAGTACTAGAGTAGACTATAGTAGGCAATAGTGTGGGTGGGTGTCCTTTCCTGATAGCAGTAGGCGGGTCAGTGCAGTTCGTAAGATTATTAGAAAACACACTTCCCTGATAAAAGTGAGGCAGATCTTTCTGGTTGACAGGATCAATCTTTCTCCGGTAGTTGTTGTTTTTATTGTGCTTTCTCTGGTAACCGTCACTCATCGTGCTTCTCACCTCTCTGCAGGCGTGGTGTTTATTGTGATTGACTGGTTG